AAAAACACGGATAGAATGTTTCTTTAACTAAGAAGTATAAAAACACGGATAGAATGTTTCTTTAACTAAGAAGTATAAAAACACGGATAGAATGTTTCTTTAACTAAGAAGTATAAAAACACAGATAGAATGTTTCTTTAACTAAGAAGTATAAAAACACAAAACAAAATGTTTTTTTAACTAAGAAGCATAAAAACACAGATAGAATGTTTCTTTAACTAGGAAGTATAAAAACACAGATATAATGTTTCTTTAACTAAGAAGTATAAAAACACAGATATAATGTTTCTAACTAAGAAGTATAAAAACACAGATTGAATATTTCTTTAACTAAGAATAATAAAAACTCTGTTTTGTTTTTATATATATATCGTTGCTTGGAGTTCATTACTTGTTCGGGCGATTTGTACAATATTTTGGCGGTTGCTGTTACATAAAACGTAAAATTAGTTAATGAAGTACAATTGGCCACTTCTAGACACCAGGCGCTGTCAGTATGAAACTTAATGGACCTGAACGATGGTTAAACGCATAGATAGCAAATAATTTAGTAAGACCGACAGTATTTTGTCACCGAAACTGAAGGGCATGAACAGTATAAGATACTGGGGATGTGACAAGAATAAAGAAGACGAATCGATCAAGGTTGGTGATAAATCAGCTGCAGTGACAGTAACGTTCTCAATATGCATTCACGTACGTGAGGAAAATATCACGTATCTTCCCCCATGATTTGTAGCCAGAAATACAGGCTGGAAAACGGATATAGTGTCTAGGCATCTGTGTTATGGAGGTTAATGAAACAAGTGATCCTCACTTCGAGAAGGAATAGGCCGGTCAGATTCGGGAGTATTTCAACTTAAAATGTTATATTCTTGAAAATTTGCGAACCTAAGGGTCATACATTTTAAAGATAAGTATTTCTTAAGATTTAAAGAAAAGATAATGTAATATTACTAAAATAAAAAAAATTACACAAAACTGTACTGTAAGTATAATTAAATACTGTGTAACGTACATTAGTAACATTGACAATGTCCTAAGATTTCATTCGGATTATTGTTATTAATAGCACCTACAAATATTTTTAGAACCGTGTTCAGGTTATCAATAGCACCTACAAATATTTTTAGAGCCGTGTTCAGGTTATCAATAGCACCTACAAATATTTTTAGAGCCGTGTTCAGGTTATTAATAATACTTACAAATATTTTTAGGGCCGTGTTTGTGTTATTGTTATTAACAGCACACAGATAAATATTGTAGGGTTTCATTTGAATTATTGTTATTTATTGTATGGACGAGTATTTTCTAGGGTTTTGTTCAGGCTATTATTACAACCTCAGAATGATTTGGGTTCATCAACCGATGTAATTGTAAAGGAAAACTCTACCTTCAACAACTGTCTGTTCCAAGTTTACTTTACAATTCATGCAACGATCTCTACAAAAACATCGTTTCTAGGGACAAAGTTCTCCAGCCTGACGTGTGCCGATAATTCTGAAGGTATTTTAATGAGAGATTTCCTTTCTTTTGTGTCAGACCGCTTTACACTGTGCCACTAATTGTCTTCTTCCTCTGCTTTCCCGGACATTTGTGTAAGTTGAGTTCGTGACACGCACTGCTGAGGATTCATCGTAATAGCGTTAGCTGAAGGAAGTGATCAATTACAGGGGCGAATAGTTTATTAAAAACGTTCTGCTCATCTGAGGTTTAACAAGAGCCCCCTTTCCTTTCTTCTTGTTATATGAAGAAAACGTAGCTGCGTGTATTTCAAAAGTTCGCTGTGGCTTAGAATTCCCGGTAGTAATCTAGTACCAAAGGTTTATCGGGATGAATGTAATACTACAATTGGATTTGAGGTTATGCATTTTTAAAGACAGAATATTAGCTTTCCAGGTTTTAAGTAATAAAACAACGCACATGTAGGGGTTTCCTTGTGATGTCACGATTCCCCTGGTGGAGAGCTTTTCTTGACACGTAACATTACAGTTTACATAAACTGGGTTCATAATGATAATTAGACGCTTATTAACTGAATATATTTTGGATTTTTGGTTTAGACAAGAAAACAATATTAATGTGGCGCATGGAAATAACATGTGAAAAAACGGAAATAAATAAATACATACATAAGCTAGAGCCATGGTTCTCAAGGTCCACGAGCCTTCTGAAAGGGGTTCATATTAAAGTCAAATAAAGAAACGATACTATATTCGATACAATGAAAATAATGTTTTATTTAACAATTTGACTAACTTGCATACTTATGTCAGTGTTGCTTTATCTACTGTAGTACCAAAGTTCGTAGATAAACCGACCTGAGTATGGGAGTTATTGAGATTGTCTCTGGTTCCTGAAGGAGGAAAAGAAAACGTTGAGAACCACTGAACTGGAGGTTTCACATTTTAAACCAACATTCGGCACAAACTAGACAGTTTCTCGTGTTTCTTCAAACCTCATTTTATCTTCCAACTTTTGTTTTTCTTAGTAACAATAATCAACAAATCAATAAATTATTAATTTAATACCTGTGTGTTGTCACGATTTAATATCTCCAGCGGTGCTCGGATGCTGGGTTTTCCTAGATACCAGTCTTCCTGGGGGTTGTACATCTGGAGCAATTTTACCAATCTAGGGACATTGACGTAGTTGTCGTCATCAAAGTGGCAGAACCACCTGAAATGATTAATTCTTATGATCAAGTTTATCTGTGTAGTGTGTATTCTTACTTCTACCTACAGATTTTGTCAATACATAATGAACTGTCTAACAGTATAAACTGTGAGCGTTGAAAACTTATGATTCCTCTAAGCGACTAATGATTGTAATTTTATATAATGCAAGCTGAGAATGTGGAAAGCTTATGATTTCATTAAAGATACAAACATTTATCAGCTGTTTATTGTAATTTTAACATAAGTTGTAAGTATCAAAAAGTTATGATTTAACTAAGCTACAAAGATTTGTCCGTTAGTTATTTTAACATTATTTAATGTAAATTGAGAGTGTTAAAAAGTTATGATTTAATTAAACTACAAAGATATATTAGTTATTATGATTATATTTAATGTAAGTTGTGTATGTTAAAAGTTTTCGTTTGTTCATATTAGAACAAAGCCACATTGCTGTGTTCACAGAGGGGAATCGAACCCCAGATGCTAACATGGTAAACTTACCGCTGTTCTACCGGGAGACATAGGGATATATAATGATTTTATTAAACTGAGAACTATTAGCCTTGTTGTGGGTTTCTTTCCACTCTGTTTTTTTTTAATTCTTGTCATTTGACAGTAGCCAGAAAAAAAAAAAGCTAACTGTATTGGAGAACTCTAAAAGAAGCTTGTGTGGGGGAAATTCAATGCTGCGTACTGCTTGGTGGGGGAGGGCTGCAGGGAGTCTCTTTGTCATCTCTGTGAAACTATCTTTGGAATCTGAGGATGTTCAACTAACAGTGGTTTGTGTACCTCTCTCTCTCTTTTTTGTCTGTATAAAAATAAAAGGCGATCAAGTAAACCAAATAAAAAAAATTACCATTCCATCTTGGTAGTTTATAGGTTTCGATAGTTAGGGACACAGACATGCGCACTTATATAGATAAATAGATGACTTCAAACAACATGGCCAAAATCAAATAGCGTCGCACTTGTGTAGATATTGAACGGGCAAGGCTTGGAGAAGCGGGGCATTAGCCCCCTACGTTTCAAAAGGTAGTGTTTTATTTTCAGTCTGGAATACAAGTAAAGTATTTAAATTAGTGCCCTATTATGAAACCGCGCTTAAACTGTTATAATGGAGGAAACATTAGGGAATCATACTTCCTTTAGCCTTCTCCCCCAACCTCCTTTATAATACCTAAGCCTATGTGGCGAGCTCTACTACGGTAGATACCTCTCTCTAGTACTAGAATACAATCTACTAGCCGCACTGTGTAACGTATATCTTGGTTTTATTTTGCTTTTCTACTTTGTTTGAAAGTTTTTGTTTCGGGCCTATTTATTTAAAATGAATATATATATATATATTAAAGGTCGGGAGACGCTACTGTTCCACATTCTCTTGTCTATAAACGTTAAACAGCTTGACATGATTTTATGTTTTCTTTACACAAACATACATTAATATCTTGCGTATTTCATATGTTATAGTTAAATTAGCCAAAGGTTTTCTAATAAGTAGGCCGAAACTATTATGAGTTATTACTTGTTAAACAGTTATTAAGCCATTGGTTATTTATTTTATTTAACACAGTCCATCATACCGTCATGCTTCTGAAACATTCAACAGATGTAGTTAAAGCTCTATACTGAGCTGAAGGTTAAAGCATCAAACCTTAGACTGTATTTTTTCTTCATTTTGTCGGATACTTCAAATGGACTAATATTGTTTTCTTGGTGCGATATGGAATATCAGAGTTCACATCTAAAAAAAAAACACATGCAACACAGCGAAGTTTTGTTAATCTGCGAATTTGTGTCAAAATAATATTTATAAAGTTATTTCAAGACCCAACTCCACTTCATTCAGCGTAGATTCGTATAATAATAATAATACCCCAGTGGATAAAAAAATATAATGCCACGATAGAGAGGTTATTACATACACATGCCTTCCTGCAATTATAAGTTTCAGGATTCCCCCCCTCCAGTACAATCTATTTCCTGTCGTTCATGGAGGGTGGGGATATCAACCTTGACAACATTAATGAACTCTTATTCATATTCATACTCATATTTTTTACTTCTCTGTATATATTGCAGTAATATTAAAAGAACAGCGTTACAAAATTAAATTCTTTCATGTATATATTACGCTCAATCTCAGGATTCGGTCACTGAATGAAAAAAATAACCATTTCGCGATTTTAGCATGTCAGAATTATCAAAGACCGAAACAAAATGTTATTTTATTTGTGATAATTGTGCTTGGAGCTACTGTAGTTTGTTTAAATCGCTTTATACAAAGACCAAATCAGCTGTTTGTTATCTTCTGTCGGATAAAACATTTTGCACATTTACACCATGAAATAACATTTCCTTCCAATTTTTTTATAATTTTGACACACTCAGTTCGCGAAATGGTCATTTCATTCGATTAATGACCGAATTCCGAAATTGAACGTCACATATTTATTGGATATACAATACACTTGTCATCGTACGAACAGTGTAAGCAAATTCGAATAACATCGTAAAAAAAAAGGTTGTGTCGTAATCTAACACAAACGTATTATTTCACGACACAGTATATTGTGTTCACATGTGAACTATAACCCAACTGACTGTTGTAGCGATACAAACACATATTGTGTTTACTTGAATACATTGTTATGTTATGTAGTCACATTTTTATTGTGCGTGTATACAGATTATGCATCAGCTAACAGAATACAAGTTGTTTTGTTTTGACAAAGTTCTCTTCAAGACGGCGTCCTTCTGTGTTACTGCACAGCATACATCCCCAGAAATACCAGATAAGGGATCACTCAAGAATATCCAGATATTTTACGTGTAATCTAAGCTGATACATGCACGTCTACTGAAAAATGTATTTTATAATATTTGTATTCCTGGTTTTAGAAATCAATTTATTCAGTTTACAATATGACGAACTAGCCCGAAGATAATTACTACAAAACCGTACTTTCTAAACTTACTTCTTGTGGCTCTCCAGGAACCTGTCGAATTCAACAGACATCTTGCAGCACAAAGCTTTCCTAGGAATAACAAAGACTAATTATGTTGATAAGTTCTATACAAATAGACTATTAAAATAGAAGCTAAGATAATATCTCATAACTCTTAAACCAAAGGATTGAACATTTTCATTAATACTGAAATGTTTGTTTGTTTTGAAGTTAAGCACAAAGCTACACAATGGGCTATTTGCGCTCTACCCACAACGGGTATCGAAACCCGGTTTCTAGCGGTGTAAGTCAATACTGAAATGAACGGACAGATGATATTTTAGTTTCAGTTGTAGTCCGATTTTTAGTGATATTCTTTTTTTTATGTGGCTAGTAAGAATATCTATGAAGTCTCAATTAAAGAGTACGACAAGCAGAAACAAACCAGTAACATTTATATTAACATACTCTATTAAAATTGTATGCATTTTATTGAAGAGTTAAATTAAAATATTAGTAGACTCACCGATTATGTGACGAGGAACAGTTTGTGTTGACGAGGTGACCACCTGTGAAACACAATAAAACTAATATATTATATAACATCCTAGTAACAGAGAAGAATTATACATAAGCATCCAGCACAAGTAACGTGTATTTTGCAGAGTTTAACATTTGACCGTTGTTGCTTGACAATTGTTATGAATCAGTAGACAATTTTCAGTCTAAGCAACAATAGATACATGGTCGTTCAATAACCTAGTAAACGAACAACACAATAAGGGACGAGCCATTCTCAGAAGGCCTGCTACTCGTTACCTGAATGGTATAAAGACGAGAGAACAGAAAAATTCTCACCTGTTTTAGATTGAAAGTCTGGATCATCACCATCGGTGAAGAAATATGTCTGAAAAAATAAAATAATAAAATGGGTTAGAGCAAATAAAATTATTTTAAACTAATTATTTGAGAAATAGCACACGAGGGAAGGCTTTTGTACAAAGTTGAGCAGTCAGTCGCCCTCTCTCATGATGAAAACTCGATTGTTCAAGCCTTTAGTAACCTGATAGCCCACTAGAGGACTCAGCAAGCGGTATAATGCTAGTTCGTCCTAGTGAGTGTCTTCCTCCATTTTATGTGTTATTATTTTACGAAAGGAAAAAACAAACAAACAAATTCAACAAAAATGGTTATCACACGATAAAAAAGAAAAAATATACAATAATTACAGATCAATAAACCTGATCGATACTTGGAATATATATTTTATCTATATAAAAATATATATATGTGTCGTAAAAACATAATATTTAGAGCGAGAAACTATAAAATGTTACCACATTTTATATTTGATGCTCATTTACTTAGGACTCATTAGGTGTTTCAAAATAAACAATCAAGTTCCTATGGTAGAGACGTTTATAAACGAATATTGCGTATAGGTTTTATAATAGCATCTTTGTCATTTATGAGGCATACAAAAAAGTAAATTTTTTCAAGTTGTCTCTGGTAATACTTCATGGAAGGATATGTAAAAAATCTTATTTAACTGTTGCAGAGGACGCTTTATTTTCATGTTAAGAACATGACTTATACATAAATTAAATTTGTTGGATAAAAACCTAGAATCAATTTATACAACTATTAGTGTTCAATTTGACGTCACTGTTTTGGTGTGCACTATAACATATATATATATATATATATATATACTATTTGACGTCACTGTTTTGGTATACACTATAACATATATATATATATATTTACTATTTTTTTGACAGCTGAATCCACTATCTTCTCTTCTCAGACTATACCCTTCCTGTTTATTGTGTGTTACAAGATCAAACTAGGAATACTTAGTGTATCAGTATACACTTTACTAGAGCTATGACACTTTCTCACAGTTTCTTAACCCCCGCTACAATGATTTCTGCTTCTGTTAATCCCCCTATTCAGCTAGTACCTGCAGACTACTAAACACCGTGAACTTGGCGTTGACAATATGGCACCATGAAAGCTTAACGTCCCTTTTGCCCACCAGTTAGTCACCAGCCAGTCTTGCTTCCTTAGTTCTTGTTCTAACAATGGTTGTCATTCCCCTTCACGAGCTCTTCGATTTATTTCTTTGTGAAGAACTCTCGACCCGTGCTTTTCTGCTCGACTTGTCAAACACATACAACATGGGTCCAGAAGGGACAAAGCAGAACTCATGATGCTTGATGGACTAACGCTTGGCCTAACAAAACCTATCTGACTCACACTCAAAGAAAAACTTCAAGTATGCAGCTGCAGAACTTACTTCGACTTTAAGAAAGCATGTAGATATTTGGCGAGCTTTTCACCGCCAGGATAAGAATTTATAATAGTTAGGTGGTTGTAGCATAGTGTCTAAATTGTAAGGGAGTGAGCTTTTGCTAGATATCAGTATTGTATTTTCTGAAAATATAAGACTATTGATTTCTTTTTTCTCTATATTAAACATGTCCTTTCTCTCACGTTTTTCGCACATACCTGTGTTAATTCTATGCTTCCTATAAGATAAAACTATGATCATATAACTGTTATAAAACTAGACTACCTGTTCGGGTGTGATTATCTGTTCTTGTCTGCTTGATGTTTCAAAAATGAGTTTCGGGTTTCTCGGAAAGAAGTCATAGCACGTGACTTTTTGTTCTGTTTGCAAACGAAGGTAATGAACCTTCCGATTCAAGAAGTACAATCATGCTGATCAAAGTTTTTTTCTTGTAACGAAACACAGAAGACATTCTAAAACAGGTAGTTTTTTTATACTAGAACGAACCACTGCTTACAGTGTTTATAATGACGATAACTTTAACCAGTTTATAATGTCTAAGTTGAAAGAAAATAGAAAACACTTTAAAACATTTTCTTGATCATTTAATATTTTGCAGTCCAATTCATCCAGTGCTATATAGTTGAAGATGGCTAAAAGACAAACTTGATTACTTTATTCTGTATCTAGTTTTGTAGTACTTTCCTCCCTTTTATCTACAATGGTTGACAAAAAAAGTCAATTATCAGCAATAATAACATGTTGTGGTTATGCACTTAAAACTTGGAAATTGTTTTCAACCTAGGTAAAATCCAAAACATTATTTTATAAGTAAATGTGTGTAGAATTTAGTGGAAGGAGGGCACAGTACTGTAGAGAAAAGCAACCATTATAAAATAGTAGAAGTACATTCAAACCGTGGGAACGCAGTGGTTTAGAAGTTATCTCCCACGCTAGTGCCACCTGCTGTCAAGACTTTTTAGCTGTGTTTAGTAAACGTAGAAGCTACAAATGAATGGCGACCGCAAACATCTGCGTTTGATGATTCCAGTAAGAAAGATATGTTTCAAACAGCTGAGTCTATGTTAGATATTTTACCATCCTTAACTCATCCCCCTCTTCCTCTCCTCCACTTCTACCGTCCCAATCTCTGTCTGATATTACGTTCTCACTTTAAAAATCTTAAAGGGTCTTTGGTTCTGCCTACTTCCGGTAAGGGAGAGACCGTAGTGGAAAATCGTGTTGTTATGAACCAAGTCTTCTCGACAACACAGTGGATGGAAAGACGTCATCTTATTGTTATAGGGAGTCTTTCAGTGCAGCACGTGCTGAAACAAAGAACTTAAATTATGTATGCAACAGCACGAAGTAGAAGCGTTATAGAAATCAGTTTCTCCTGATGAACGATAACGGAGCGTAGGGGAGGAAGTTAGAGGGGTGGGCATTGATGAGAGAGCATCACATGTATGTCGCGTGGCCAAAGAACATGGGATGGGGGTCGACCTCCACATCCCCATGGGAAACTTACTGAAACGTGTCTTCCCATAGCTTGTAGCGGAGATCACACGGTTACTGGTACTGCTAATAATGATTACAATATGTTACAACACATTTGTTATGTCTCTGTAAACTGTTTAACACTAGCGTATACTTCTCCTGTTAATTGTTCTCCTGTGGGGCAAAAGAAAGTTTACGGACTTATAACGCTAAGATCTGGAGTTTGAGTCTCTGTGGTGGACAGAGCGCAGATAGATCATTATGTAGCTTTGCGCTAAATCAAACAAATTAATAAGCTCCTTATACTTTGTACACTGTACTAATAAAACAAATGAATAAGCTCCCTATACTTTGTACACTGTACTAATAAAACAAATTAATAAGCTCCTTATACTTTGTACACTGTAGTAATAAAACAAATGAATAAGCTCCTTATACTTTGTACACTGTACTAATTAAACAAATTAATAAGCTCCTTATACTTTGTACACTGTACTAATAAAACAAATGAATAAGCTCCTTATACTTTGTACACTGTACTAATAAAACAAATTAATAAGCTCCTTATACTTTGTACACTGTACTAATAAAACAAATGAATAAGCTCCTTATACTTTGTACACTGTACTAATAAAACAAATTAATAAGCTCCTTATACTTTGTACACTGTACTAATAAAACAAATTAATAAGCTCCTTATACTTTGTACACTGTGCTAACAAAGCTACCTAAGAAATATTTCTACTTTAATTTCCTAATCGATAAACGGTATGTTTCTAAACTAAGATGCTAAGATGCTAATATTAATCTGGCGTTCGATTCCCCGCGGTGGACAAAGCGCAGATGACAAGAACAAATTCTACTAGTCCTTGAGATATGCTACACTTTTCTACAGTTAACATATGGATCGCAGGTGAATTTCACTACTTACATAGCGATTTCAGTGTATTTGTTACCTCTGCCACCGAAGGTAGACGGAGGTTATGTTTTCACCCCTGTGTGTGTGTGCATTTGTCAGCAGGATTTCTCGAAAACGGTAGTATTAATTTGGACGAATGTTGGTATACACTTGGATTATAACCCAACCTAGAAGTGATTAGTTTTTGGATGGTCAAGGTCACAAAAATCCGAATCTGTTAACACGGAGACTGATTTTTCACACTATTTTTGCTCTATAACTCAGTCAAAAATCATCGGATTTTGATCAAACTTGGTGGACATATGTAGGACATCATGTCTCATTGTCTTGCCAAAAATGGTCCGTGTCCGTTGATAACGACGGACATACGGGCACATTTTCGTATTTTTCAGAGCCGAATATGATCAACGGAGGTAGGGGCTCTACTGAGTGTCCTCTAGTCTCTTATTATGATTACTTGTATTTAACCAATTTATAATTTCTATATTGGAAGCAAGTAGTAAATCATTTGATTATTTAATATTTGTCAGTTCATGTCACTCACAGTGCTTCACAGAAGACGGTGGAAAGAAGACAAACTTGAGTTCTTTAATTATACTGAATCTAGATACGATGAACGATTTTAAAAAGTTGTTTTCCTTTCTCAGGCCACTCAGGTCGTACATACTCCTTGGTTTATCTTCGAATATTTGATCAATGACAAGTTTTATTTAACTCCTGCAGGTGACGCTTTATTTTGCCCAAGCGGAGAATTAAGGGGGGATTTATTTACATTCATAGCAATTTAAATATACTAGCATTTTTTGGCAGTAATCGTGAAAACCCAAAAAATAGTGTCCAAAATCACTGATAGAGGTCACAGAGTCCAAGTATTGTTAATTATCATTAACTTCTGATCAAAGCAAGCGTATTACATACATCAGAACTAAACCTTAACCCAGTAATTAATACAGATAATGCAACGCTATGTTTCATGTTTGAAATTTAGTTTTGATATGATATGGTTTGTATCTTCTTTTGAAATGATTAAAGCTAATTGTTGGCTATGATGTGTGTATATTAATTCGAAAGGGTTAAAGTTTAGGTTGGTCATTATGTGTGTTTGAAAGGGTTAAACTTTAGGTTGGGTACAATGCGTGAGTAGTTGTTTGAACGGGTTAAAGTTTAGGTTGGTCATTATGTGTGTTTGAAAGGGTTA